CAACATGACTTCAAATGGAATGTCATGCAATTTTTTGTTAAGTAATTTCATGTTCTCTTATGCAAGGAGTGGAGTATGAGTGTCAATGAGTGTCCAAAGTTTGAAAAGACTTGAGTGTGATGTAATTTATACTATTCTCCTCATTTTTGCTTCATAGTAGATTTCTTGGTATTGTGTGGCTTCTTTGTTTTTTCCCGTTCCCGATTTTTCAATGTTAAATCTGATATATCTGTGCTTTTCTTTTTTTGTACGTTTTTATATCAAGCTTTGCTTTGAATCTCACGAATCGGTTTCCAGAATTTACGTCTCCCAACAATTTTAACCACTTATAATATACCTTCCTTTAATTGAGTTTTGTCAAATTTTAATCCACTTTATATGCTGCTAATGATATGAGGGACATGAAGGATTATTAGAAGCCCGTAACTAAATTGACTGTTTTTATCAATTTTTTCTTGGCTCTTTTTTTTTAGACTTCAATTATTTTTTTTCTTCGAAAAAAGTCAATGGCAACGCTGTCACTTAATAAAATGATTGGTTTTAATGATTCTTTCATAGATTGGACTCACGTATCTTCCTTGCTCGAGGCTCTCTTTCACTTGGTTCAATAACCAATAAGTGAACCCTATCGCATATAAGCTTGATCATGCTTTTTGTACCTGTCTTCGGATGGGTGAACATCATGTGTCTTTCTACAAATTAACTTTATCACTCCCTCGACTTATCAATTTGGGGAACTAGAATTCTATCAGGCACAATTTTATTTTCAAAAACTATTGAACTAATGCTTCTTCTTAGGAACATTTTTTTTCTAGGGGACCAACCTTTTTATACTTGGCAAAAAGCTTCAAGTGGTTTGAAAAGATTTAATTGGAAGACCGCCGCTAATTTCAAACAGCTGTCTAGGAACTTAGAAGCATGAAAAAGAGAGCATTTTCTACCTAATAGAAAGCAACACCAGCAAGAAATCTTTATATGTTGTGGCTAATGCTCTCAAGAGTATAAACTCTAATAAAATGTTGAGGCTTGAGGGGTTTATGGTAAAATCCTTCACTCATGCTTGAGACTCAATGGTAACCAAATCTATTTCTGATTCATCATTTTTTTACTTCTGGCAAAATGTCAAATACAGTTAAACACTAACTTGTAACCTTTATTCCTAAGCAAAACAATGCGGATTCCATTTTCTCTTCTCAAGGTATTACCTTATGTAACATGATCGCTAAAACTATAGCTAAAATACTTGCAAACTGTTAAAGGTTGTATTCCCGCTAATCATTCGAGCAGCAAAAGCGATTTTTATCAAGAATGGAGGCACAAGTCACAATATTACCTTACAAATAAAATTACACACAAAAGCTTCATTTCTAATAGACTTCTTAAAAAGTTCAGTCCTCTTCATTTTGTCAAATGGTTTTATCATTGCATTATTGAAGCTTCCTTCCCTATTATATTAAATGGTGAAATAAATGGCCTCTTTTCTTCCTCAAATGGGCAAGTCAAAATATCCCCTTCTTTGTTCTTTTTGCAATCACTATGGATGAATTTTCATGTCTTAGGATAATGAGGTTCTTAAGGGATCGCACATTCCTATCCATGAATAAAAATCTTGATTTCTCGTCTTATATTTGCCAATAATCTTTTTTTTATGAAAAAGACTGATCGAGTTTATTATGGGAGGGCTAATCAAGATATTATTCTTTCATGACACTGTGCTGAAATTTGAAAAACCAAGACGGGAACAAATGGTTAAACATTGATAACATCACTCTAACGATCATCATAGTCCGCAATAAAAATCATCCAACATAAACAGCCATAAACCATAAAAGCATATAAAACAACATTCACATCGTCATAAAAACACCCAGCATGCAATTAATTAAAGAAAATCAACAATAAAACAACAATGCTTGTACCTTTTTTAACTTGAACCTCTTCTGCGATAGGCATATTATCTCATGTCAGTCATTTTAGTTTATCTGAGCTTTACTTGAAAGAAATAGTTAAATAATACATTAAGTTTATAACAGCTTAATGAATAATTACAATTTTAATATGCCTTAAATCATAATGAAATTATTTAAACAAGAATATTTAACAGAGAAATAATGTTTAAGTTGTAAAGTCAATTATAACATTTTTATTTTAATAAAAACATTTATTAAACTATTTTTTAAACACTTATATTTTTCTATTTCTTTTCTTTTAAGAAATCATATTAAGAGCATCATTAAAATTTGTACTAATTAAAGCACAACCATTTTCATTTCAATTTATATTCATATAGGGGTATAATAGTGCCCACAACTAGCATCATAAAGGATGACTTATAATTGACTTGTATATTTATTTTTTTTATTTAAAAATATTTAATCCATTTCAATCAATGAATCTATTTCTTAATTTTTTTATATAATGCAAAAGGTAAAATAATTTAAAACAAGAAATGATCATTTAATTTTTCTAATTATAGAAATTATTTTAAGCTTTCAACATGTATGAAATAAATAAAATATATCTTTTAGAATAATATATCACCATTTAAGTTTGTATGCGACTTTATAAACTATATTCTTTGAATGCATAAATACTTTTAAATAAAATAAAATAAATTTAATGAATATAAAATAATAAGTACTCACATTGATTCAATGTCATAAACTGATCCCTACAAGATATTATTCCTAAACAATAACATGTGATATTATACTAATTCAAGTAAGGGGAATTTACATAGAGAGCACCAAATTTTTATGCATTTACCAATCTCACACCCAAACTCTCATTTTTACAAACTAAGCACCCAACTCACCTTTTTCATCACTCTCCAACAGTGAAATTCACATTTTCATGCATAAGTAGGGTGGTGCTGATTTTGTAAAAATGAGATTTTAGGTGTTAGATAGGTAAAATGCATAGAAATAGGGTGCTGTGCATGTAAACTTTCGTCCACTTAACTTTATCAATCTTATAAATTAATACATATCTCAATTTCCTTCTTTGCAAACTCCATGATCCATGTCTCTTAATCTTCGAACCAAATGCTCTTCAATCTCTTGCTTTATTTCATAATATTTAACATTAACATAAATTATTTTAATTAAATTAATTATTTTAAAGAAAATAATAAACCCTAACATTCACTATCTTCCCTTATTTCTCCTCTTTTGTGAAAATGACGATTTCAAACTTTTAACCTACGAAGCAAAAGTTCTTTGATTTAAGATTTTTAATATAAATTATTATAACTTGTAACGTCAATTTAAATTAAATAATCTGAAATATATAATTTAACCTAATCTTTCTAATGGGTTGTGCTTGGCTGTCCCTTCCCATAAGCAAAGCCCCATGTTCTAATTCACAGTCCTCGTGCACTTTGCGTACTTCCAAACACGAGTGCCCTTCCCACAAGCGGCATACTTCGGTTCCTCACTCGTAGGCGACGATCATCACACATCGCACACTCAAAGCATTTCTTCCCTTCAACTTCAATGTCAACAATGTTGTGTCGCCATCCTAGCACGAGTCGCATGCAGGCCTCACCTCATATTTCTTATTCTCACTTGATTGTCGTTGTTCACCCAAACAAGAGCAATCCAGGCTCGACTTCGGCTTTGACACTCGCACAAACAAGCTTGCATGCCTGCAAGCCCTCATCTCTGTGTCACACTGTCCTCGCTCGCACCCTCTCCCTACTCTCTTTTGGTTTGAAGGAGACGTTTGTCTCCTACTAATGAAACTGTCTTGACGGTTTTATTCGTACTGTCAGTGTCATTTCGAAATTCATCTACTTTTTTTTTCCAGTTATTACACCTTCAACCTCTTAATACAGCCTATCAGTGTTACATAGCTCGAATTAGTTATCTTGTTTCTCATCACTAACTTAGTTTTTTAGTGCGGGCTCTGGGCCACAAGGATTTATGTTCATAGTGTTGCTGTTCATTCCATGTTAAAACGATTCTACACTGATAGAGATACTCGCTTAACCTCCAATTCTTTTATCCAAGCCCATCCCAATAGTTTGTTCATTGTTGTTTTCCTATGTTCTTAATGCCCTTTGCTTAATGTATTTTGCTTCCCTAGTATTTTCTGGTATTTTGATTTTTGGCCAAAGGTTTAAAGTGTGTGTATTTTAGGGTGCATCTTTGCTTTTTTATTTTATTGAATTAGGCCCTGCCCTCGCTCTTCCTGGGTAAAAAAAACAGTGTTACACAAGTAAGTGTGATAAGAGGAGGAATAAAGATGAGAGTGCTAATGAAGAGAGAGAGAAGAAACTATGAAGAAAGAGTGAGAATCAAAAAGGAAAACAATGTGATGGTGTGTCTCTCCCGATCAGCTACAATGGACAAAAGTAAATAAGGGCAAGTATTATTCATACAAATAGAAAAAGTATTACTGTTAAGTCAGGAGCTAGACCCGCTTCAATAAATTCAGACCATTTAGGTCAAATTCCACAGAAATTTCTCTCATCCACTTATGATGAATTAATGCACTTGTTAGGTACGGCTCATATACCATAAATGGAACAGATGCTGGAGCGGAGCCCATGAGCAGAGCGGAGCGAAGGATCTGTCCAATCGGGGGAGTTTTATTATGTGGGTTGGGGGTGCGGAGACAACACCCCGTTGTTTGGTACTGGGGCAATTTAAGTAATTACATATTGTACTATAGGATTATATATATAGTCATGTTTGTAACCCTAGGTGAGTCTCAAGTCTTTGGGGATTTTGAATCTTATATTCTGTATTCTTTTCTGAATATTGAAAATAAGTCGCCGCTCTACTCCCGAGGATGTAGGCATCTTTGTCGAACCTCATAAATCTCGGCGTGTTCTTCGAGATTTGTGTTGATTCCTATTTTTCTTTGCCCTTAATTTCTCAACAGCATTGAAGACAGCTAAGTAAATTTATTATCTAAAAACCACAAACATTCATCTCAGATTTTCGTTGAAAATAATAACGGTTAACAATAACATATTACAAGCTCTCAGTGAAATCAAAATTTAATTTCTATTTCAACATAACTATGAAATGGATGATGCAATACTTCTCCATCAAATAATGCCTAATAACCCTTAGTCTGTAGCATCCTCTTCGAGGAGTAAACTTGGATATAACTGACTAATTGCTTCAAATCAAGATCGTGTGATAAACCGAGAATAATATTAAGTATTATGGCATCTACCATTACCTTCTTCAAGAACGTATTTTTGGTTTCCATCCTCTTTGTCGTGCCCTCATCTCCCATATTGCAGTCAATTTCTTTTGTTCTGATAGCATAAACTCGGCTCTTTCCCTCGCTTCCTCGCAGGTATCCATCCCTGAATTGCATTTGTCAGCTTCTTTTTGATATTGAGATGCCAATTTCTTAGCTTCGAGTAAAGCTACATCAGCACGCTGCTGAGCATCAATGGCCAAAGCCTCCTTCAGCTTCAGTTCCTCTGCAAGAAGGTCTGTAAAATCCTTTTCCATTACCTCATTCACATCTGGGTCCCGCTTTGCACAATCTGCAGACCAAGAATAAGAACAGAAACCTTTTTAGTTTTGATATGAAAGGGGCTCTGTAAATAACAATGCATGTTAATGAAAATTAAATCAAGGCATTTTGGCAGACTATATGCATCCTATGCGTACGGCACAGGTGCAATTTTGCCTTTCCAGATTCACCAGAATTTAAGAGAAAAACATGCAAGCTAAATGTTTTACTACATAAAGTTTAAGTTTGAAAAAAAGAAAACACATAAAACGTAAAAATGTGGAAAATTCAAGCACAATCTTCATTCCCAAGACATACAATTTATGAAGTTATAATTGCCTTCCACCTCCCAAGCACATTCTAAGTCGAAGCTACAAGAAGCCAGTAAACAATCCCCAAGGGCTTTGGAGCTATTTTTTCACATCTAGTTTGTGATACTCGCATTAAAAACTACTACAATAAAAGCAGCCCAAACAATCCACTGGCGTTTGATGATGCAAAACTCAGAGTAGTGCTACTTCCTAATGCAAATGCTAAATGAGGATTTGGAAAGAGGTATATAGATTGATAAGATCATCTTCTGAATGGCATTCAAAGGTATTCCAACAATTTACCACTAACACGATAAGCCTCTCGTAGATTTCATAAAAGACCTGACTTATAATGTACAGAATGTTAGGGGAAATAATTTAAGTGAGAGAAATGGAAAAAAAAATGAGAAAAATAAAACATTGCAAAAAAAGATATAAAATAAAAGACATATTTAGTGTAGAGAGATGTTTCATGAGTTCAAAGAAAAATGGGATATAAATATTTCCCTCTCAAATTTATCGTTGGTAAAACTCAAATCATCCAATAAAAGGAAAATTATATATATATATATATATATATATATATATAAGATAATCACATGACTATTCATATATGATTCATTTAGTCATGGATTATCACATTTCTCCAATTTAACTCCATCCTCATTGATTCTTTCTCCAACGGTCACATATCTCACCAGCAATAGTCATTGCACAATTTACCGTATTCAAAGCTTCCTAACCACAGACCAAGAACAATTGGTGGCTGCTCCCATCAACACTGAGCATAGATCTTATTGTCTCCCAGAATGCATTCATCCATCCAAAAATTTTATTATTAAAAATATGTAAATGAAAGTAGATCAATCTAGAATAAGATAAGAAGGAAAAAATTTGAATAACAAAGGATTTGAAGGGCAGATTTTCGAACAAACTTTGAATAAATTCTGAAAAAAAAAATTTGAGGATTTAAACAATACAATTTTACAAATTCACATTTAGAGATTAAATTCCTAGCATAATTTCAAAAAACAATTGTCTCCATGCAGCACCCCCTCTAAATCATTCATGATAGCTAACCGAAGCTTTGTAATACCTTAGCCTATCATTAAGGCCCTATTTGGGAGGCCATTTTTGCGGCTTATGAGTTTCAGAACCAGAGAAGTCGCATTTGGGAACCTTTTATTTTTGTGTGATTCGCGGATGGGGGCTGCATTTCGTCGAACGCTAAAACGGAAGGATGGGACAGTATTCTGCGGCTGGAGCTCTGTTGCGAGGGGCCTTTGACATCGCTGGCCCTTCAAATTTCCGGTAATCCCACTTCTATCCTCGCATGTACCCCTCGCCCCTCTCCTCATTTGTCAACCGTGTCGTTAGGACTGCAGCCCGGTTCTACTCCCCTCCCTCCGTTGTCGGCTCCGTCGATTGGCTACCTATCTCAAGTGAAATTTTCTCCTTTATGGATTTTTCCCATTGCTTATTTGTTGCTTACCTCTGTGTTTCTCTATTTTCTTCTGTGAAATTGTTTGTCATGTATATGCATCCAGTGATGTTTGATAATCGATTTGCTTGTTCTTTCCTATGCATATGTGTAGATAAACAATTTAAGGGGAGACCACCTCTTTGTTTTTTTCCTTTCGTTATAGTATTTGCTAATGAGATTATATATGTTTAAATGCAAATTTGAAGTTTATAAAGCAGATGAGTTAGCATTATCTAAAGTTATCCTGATCAACCAGTAGAATTAATGGAATGAAATATATATGAGCATTGTACATCTATTTCTTTAAAAATACTTTGTGGACTTATTCTATATATGTTTGCACTGATATTAGTTAGTTGATTTTCTTGCATTTGCCTTCTCTACAAAGTTAAGTAACATTTTCGGGGAGAATGTTGAGCAATGCTTCTTTTTTTAGTATATGAGATCATTTTATAAATGGAATTGCGTAAGTCTTGATGTAAAGTTAAAATTTGCATAATATATATGTTAGCAGCATCTATACTTATCCTGATCAACCGGCAAAAGCTATGAAATAAAATATATATGAACATTGTTGATTTGTTGCTTTAAGAAATAATTTTTTTTAGTATATGAAATTCATTACAAATGGAATTACATATGCTTTCATGCAGAGTTATAGTTTACATGATAGATAAGCTAGCAGCATCAATACTTATCATGATCAACCAATAGAAATTATAGAATGAAATGTATATGAACATTGTTCATTTTTTTCTTTAAGAATTTCATTTTTAAGTATCTGAGAGACAATTATAAATAAAATTGCACATGTTTTGATGCAAAGTTGAACTTTGCATTATAGATAAGTTAGCGGCATTTATCTTTATTCTGATCAACCAATAGAAGATTTGGAAAGAAACATATAAGAGCATTGTACATCTGCTTCTTTAAAAATTCTTTGTGAACTTCTATTACATATGCATGCACTGATTTTACTTATCGAATTGCTTATTATTGCCTCCTCTTCAATATAGAGTAACATTTTGGGGGAAGAATGTTGAGCATTGCTTCCTATTTTTAGTTTTTCAGAGACTTTATAAATGAAATTGCATATGTTTTGTTTCAAAGTTGAAGTTTACATGATAGATAAGTTAGTGACATTTATATCTATCCTGATCAACCAGTAAAAGCTATGGAATAAAATATATGTGAGCGTTGTTCATTTGTTTCTTTAACATTTTTTTGTGTTTTTTCTACTTGGATATATGAGCATTGTTTTATAGTTTCTCTGAGAATTTTTGTTGGCCAATTTGCTTATTTTTGTCTCTTCTTCAGTGTAGAGTAGTATTTTGAGGAGAGAATGTTGAGCACTGTATCTTTTTTTAGTTTTTCTGAAACTATTTTATAAATGTAATTGCATATGATTTGATGCAAAGTTGAAATTTGCATGATATATAAGTTATCAGTATATTTACCTATCTTAATCAACCAATAGAAGTTATAGAATAAAATATATATGAGCATTATTCATCAATTTCTTTGAGAATTTTTTTGTTTATTTTTTTCATAGTTATATAAACACTGTTTTACATTTTCTCATAAAATTTGTTGGTCGAATTGTTTGCTTTTACCTACTTGTAAATATAGAATAACATTTTGAGGGGATAATGTTTAGCTCTTTCCTTTTTTTTAGTTTTTCTGAAACTTTTAAAAATATAATTGTATATACTTTGTTGAAAAGTTGAAGTTTGCATGATGGATGAGTTAACGACATCTTTACCTGTTCCGATCAACCAGTAGAAGCAATGGAATGAAATATATATGAGCATTGTTACCATATTATTTCAGAATTTTTTTGTTAATTTTTTTACCATATCTCTGAGAATTTTTGTTGGTCAAATTGCTTGTTTTTGCCTCTTCCTCAGTGTAGAGTAACATTTGAGGGAGAAATATTGAGCAATCTTTCTTATTTTTTATGTTTCTGAGACTTTTAAAAATAGAATTGCATGCGCTTTGACGCGAAGTTAAAATTTGCATAATAGATAATTTGGAACATCTTCACCTATCCTTATCAAACAGTATAAGCTATGAAATGAAATATATATAAGCATTATTAATACGTTTATTTCAGAATTTTTAGTATGTATGTTGTGCAGAGATACATGAGCATTGTTTTATAGTTTCTATGGGAAATTTTATCGGTGGATTTAGTTCTGAGAAAGTTCTGTCCCTCTTTAGTGTAGAAAAATAGTTTGGGGGACGACTATTGAGCAATGCTTTATTTTTTTAGTTTTAATACATTTTTAAGGAATGAAAAATATGTGGTTATGTTTTGAAGTAAAGTTGAAGCGTGCATGAGTAATAAGTTCGCAGCAGTTATCCTAATTCTGATCACCCAATATAAGTTATAGAATGAAATATATATGAGCATTAGTCTTCTATTTCTTTCAGAATTTTACGTGTATTTATCATACATATGTATTCACTGAGGTTATATGTCAGATAAAATATCAATTGAGGATGGCATTCAACTGTTATTTAGAGTCATTATGGAAAATAACTATCAAAGAGCTCAATCAATCACCAGTTGTAAATTTTAAAGAATGTTTTTCCCACAGATACTAACTTGTTGCTAGAGAGCACGTTCAAAGGTAGTCGATTTGAGAAAATGGTGATTATGGATGGACTCTTATTTGGTTAAGAGATCTCATTGAGCTCTAATAATTCGCTCGAGGACCCAATTTAGCTAGCGTGATAGAAGCAAAAAATTGGTTATTGATATCTTATTTGGCATGTAATCATCGGGTTTGCATCAGTGCATGCATACGCAAAATAAATACACAAAAAAATTTGAAAGAAATAGATGATCGATGCTCATAGATATATTTCATTTCATAGCTTACACTGGTTAAGCAGGATAAGTATAGATATTATTAACTTATTTATCCTATAAACTTCAACTTTGCACCAAAGCATATGGAATTTCTTCTATAAAAACTTCAGAAAAACTAAAAAAAAGCAGTGATCAATATTCTCCCCCTAAAATGTTACTCTACATTAAAGAGACGAGCAAGCAAATGACCAACAAAATTTCTCAAAGAAACTGTTAAGCAGTACTTATATATCTATCCATATTGAGATATGTTGAGGTGGAATAAATGTCGTTAACTTATCGGGCATGATTCTCAAGATTTATATGATCTTATTACTTCGGATGGTTTGTGGAACCGTTAGTTTTTTGTTTCTGTTTACGGT